TTAAATAATCCATTTGTATCATATTTTAATTATTAGCTAAAGTTAGATAATTAGATATTAAAATATTAAAATGATTTGAAAATAAAATTTTACTACTTACTCAACTATTAATCGCTTGTATTTATGATGTAAATAAATGTAATTTTATATTATATTATAGATATAAATTTATAATGTAAAAATATGTAAAATATAAGGAAAAGAATTATATTAATTATAAATATAATAATATTCTAACTTGTATATATGTGTGTATATATATATGTATTAATCAATTTAATTGTTTAAAAAAAAAGAAAATAATTTTAATGAATGAAATATATTATTTCTTCATAGTTTACATTATTAATATTTTTTTTTTTAACAATTCCATTAATAATATGTATAAAGATTAAATTTAATTATACACACATATATAATGCTCAACAAAAAAAACAAATTACATTAATGATTATGAAAATATTATTGTATATCATAGTTTTTAGATTAAAACATATCAAAAATATATTGTAAGAAAGAAAAATTTAATTGATAAAATTATTTATATACATGTATTATTTATATAGAATTTAGATTAATATATCTTTTAATTCAATTATATAATATTTGATTGTAATATGTATATTGAAAAAATAGTTCCTATGTTATAATAACAATACATACTACATATAATAGAATTATAATAAATACATCAAAATTTTATAAATTGTTTTGTAATAAATTTGTATGTATGTATGGAATGTATTTTACAAAAAATTAATAATTATTATTGAATATTACTTAATATTTCTTTATTCCTGAAAGAATTTTTTAGGCTAATATTGTAATTACAATTTTTTTTATTTAATAACTAATTTATTAATTAATAAATAAAATTTTAATGATAACTAATAAGATATAAATATCATAAAAATAGATTTTATAATTTTAGAATTTACAAAAAAAGATTAATATTACTAATTGGAAACTGATAAATTTAATAAATTTTACTTAAGATATAAATAGCAATATATTATAATTATTTAATTATTAACATAAAAATAAAGAAAATATAAATACAAAGATACACATATAAAACTTTAAAAATTAATATGATCATCAATTAATTTCAATCATAATTTGCAATCATAAGTGATAATAAATTTTGCATTATTCATTGCATTAAACAATTCAAATATTATAAATTATGCATCACATAAGAAATGAAAAAATGAAATATAATTATATAATAATTCTATATATCATTATTAATAATAGATTTCATTAATAATAAATTTATTTAAAAATTTATTTAAAAAATGTGAAAATACAACATTAAATATCACATAATATAAATATAGCAATATTATTGATTCTTCTCATTGTAATATTTTTTTTATAATTTACAATTATACTGATGGATTAATACTATTATTATTATATAATTGTAAATAATATAAATTCATATTCCAAAATATTTAAAATATAAAAATATTTATACATATATAATATATTTATATATTTATACATATATAATAATTAAAATAAGTAAAATAACAACTGAATTAAAAAAAATATATATCACTTTTATGTCAGATCTTAATAATTTTATTTCATAATTTCTCTTAAATTTTAAAATTTTAATTTCAAATTCATATTACTAATTATTTTTATTTTATTTCTTTTTTTTTATTAATTTAAAATTTATATAATTATTGTATATTTAAAAAAATAATAATTTAATAAAAAAAATAAAAATTAAAAAAAACTTGTAACTATTTAATATTTTAAAATATGATTTTTATTTAAATAAATATTTAAAATATTTAAAACTATTAAAAATACATAAAAATTAAGTTTAATATCAACATTTAAAAAATTAAATATCTTTACTTCCTGAATAACTATTATTTTATACATTAATAACATTTACATTAAATATTATAATTACAATTATTATTTTTAAATTAAATCATATTTAATATATTTCAAATATTAGTGCGCAATATATGATTTTATTTATATATATATTCTTTATATAATGTATCTAATTAAAGAATAAAATATTCTTTATTATATTTATTTAACTTTATATTTCCATTTTATTTTTTAGATAAAATATAAAATATTAATATAAATATAAAATATAAATTTCATACAAAATTCGTTAATAAGAA